AAAAGTTATACAACCTTTCAAGAATGTATTAAATAGAAAGGTATGAGTTATTTCATAAAAATAATGGATACACCAACTTTGTTTGAAATTTGGCAAGTATCTAAACTGTAACCGAAATCTGGGTATAAACTGTAACAAAATTGGATCAAGGTCGCTAGGTCTATGCTGTAACCCATCAAAATTAACCTCGCTCTATACTGTAACATTGTTTATTTTTTCAAACGCATTTTACCAACAGGAAAATAGGTTCAACTGGTCATTTACTTTTATAAACGTTTCTAAACACAAAGGACTAACGTTTTATAGATTTACTTTATCAAGGCATGCTTAAATAATGTCGGAATGATAGAAAAATGCGTTGGTCTCTTGATTCAAATTTTCAAACCGTCAAATCTGCACATTTATGAGACAATATAAAGATAAATCTGCGGTGCAGGGTCTGAAGAAATATATGACTAGATATCGGATTCTGTTCCTTACAAGCAAAGCATAAAAACATCTTTTAGAAACTAAACTACTTGTAGTATGTACCTGAATAAAAATCGCCTACCTCTCTTTCCATAAATAATCCTCCATCTTGAAAATTCTATACTGTAACCGAAAAACGCGATACTGTAACACGTTCCCTACGGTGATGATACAGACAAAAACTTTTTGCGTTATCGCGGGATCCAGTTTTGTGGACGGACGGACAGACAGACAGACAGATGAACAGACGGAGGGTAAACCTAAAGTCCCCTCCGGTTAAACAGGTAGGGGACTAATAAATCAATAAAATAATCAGGAAGCACAAAGGTTATACTAAGAACATACATGTATCTGTTTTTTGTCAATTCTTATATAATAGGGTCTTTATTTGTAGGTTACGGATATATCATTGTAATACTTTACATATATCACAGCTTTAATTTCTAAAGTCGTGATGTATATGTAGCCTATAAAGGCATTTCAGAAATAGTTTAAAATTTTCTCCTCTGTTTCTTTTTTTCAAATCATTTCATAATAAATATAATCAACTGTAAAAACGCGTACTTATATATCACAGACAAATTACACTATCATAAAAACGTCAGATTTTATGACAGAATGACTTTGCTATACAGTCCCTATGTCCCCATAGAGACCGGAATATAATTGGAAGAAAATGACATGCAAATTACTTCCACGGCGTTACATGCTTCTGTGAAGTTTGATTAAGTGCCGCTTAGCGGTTCCATTTTTGTCGATACGCATACAAAATTCTTCTAACTTATCGTATTTTATTTGTATAATGATAACTCAAGAAGTCGAAAGCAAGATATCAATTTATTTACATTATATGACTTTTACAGTTATCGTGACGACAAACCAACAAAAACAACAAGAACAAAAAAAAACAATAAAAAAAAAACGGCAGACAAAAACCAGCGCTAATAAGACACTATACAATTAAAGCAGCACGCCTCCCGATTTATGTTAATTTTCGTGAAATTATTCAAAATGTATTAAAAAGTAAAATATTGTAAAGTGAACAAAGAAAATAATTTTCACAATGCAAAAAGCACTTAAAACCAATGTAAATTACCAAAAAGAGGTCAAAATAAGTTAAAATAGCCCTAACTATGTTAGTAACGCAGTAGAAATATGATTAAAAATACTGGAAAATCAGTCATAAATTGCACATAACATGGCAATTATTATTTTATCTTGAATCTCTTTACTTTTCTTAAAATGTCAGTACTTTTTTCTCTAGTTTGATTTTCTAGAACTATTTTGGTAAATCTGGAGGCATGCAGCTTTTAAGCACTCTACATACGCACACTGCGTGTTTTTTGTGTGTTTTTTTCTTCTTCGTGTTTAAAAATCGACTAAATATAACAGAATATTTAAAAAAGAGCATTGTGTTTTCGCCACTAGTTCAATAAAACTATCTGAAAGTTCATCAATCTATCACAGTGTTTATTCACTAAGCAGTGACGAGGACGATAATAGAAGCCGACAAGTCGGCCAAAAGCAGCCGGCTCGTCCCCTAAGCCTTTTTTTAACCAAGGTAATGCGTATTCTTTAAGTGGTAAAATCGGCATTTTACTCGCTTGGACAAATGTCAAGTTTATTCTTGATTTTCTGTAAAGGAAGTAAGTTAATTCTCATATTATATTATATGATGTCATAACCAAATTCCAGCGGATTATTATTTACTAAAGTTTTTTCACCGTGTAAGAATTATTGACTTAATTCACTAATTAAGTAGTATTACTCACTGTACACTAGCTAGAATTTGGACTTTAAACACTGAACAATTTTCATTCCGTGAAAGACGTATCCAGCAAGAAATTTTCTCAGCTCAAACTCAAATCTAAGACAGATTCACAGAATGTATACACGGGTCTACCAATAAAAATCCTGAGATTTGAGGCAAAACTCAGGAAAATTGTTTATTACCTCAAAACATGCAGTGAGCAATTCCTAAAGCTAATACTAATAGCAGATGATCTGTAATTTGCCTTCAAAATGATACATCATGAATTCCGTAAATGAATTAATGTTAGAAATAATCATTTTTGAAAAATGTAACAAATTATAGTAGAATAACAAATCTTCAAATATACATGTGTAAAGTAGACGGCTTATCATAAAAGCCTGAGAAAATATTTAAGACCCTCGTAATAACGACGTCTTCATATACTTGCAATAGTTACCTCCCTTTAAAGAAATAACGCCGTTTTATAACTGAAAAAATGCTTTGATTCTTAATTCTTAGCGAGGGTAAACAAACCTAAACACACAAGATTGTTAATTCTGATGTCAGTAGCAGTAAACTAAGTACTTTCTGGTAAATCATTTCTATAGTGTTAAATAACTTTTTTAGTCTATGCAGCTCAATTTGACAATGAAAAATGAGCATAATATCACTTTTAGTTAATTTAACATAGACCAAAGATAAGATAAGTTTTATTTCAAGTCGGCAAGTTTTTCAACAGTACAACATAAGCTCTAGGAGCTTTTATAACCGACTGTATATAACATAAAGTATAAGATCAACAAAGATAAAACAGCTACAATAAAAATTGATAAATAATAATTGATTATGTATACATAAAATCAGGTTAATATACGTACCTGATAAAATAGACCTTTTTAGATATTTTTATAAAAATGAATCAGATGCTAAAAAACTAAAATGATAATTTACCCAATTCAGTCACACTAAAGTCAATTATTCCTTTAATCCCTCTGTGGCAAATTATTATTTCACTGTGGTGAATCATTATGTGGTATTGTGGCGAATCATTGCTAATTTTGTATTAATAAAACACTGGAAAAAAAGACACTGAAAAATAAAATGGATTTCGTAATTGGGCCGAAATATGCATTGTGGCAAACCAGAATCACTCAATAAAGTTAAATATTGTTTGAAGTTATGCTTAAATTAGAATATTTGTAATATATATAACCGGAATATAATTGGAAGAAAATGACATGCAAATTACTTCCACGGCGTTACATGCTTCTGTGAAGTTTGATTAAGTGCCGCTTAGCGGTTCCATTTTTGTCGATACGCATACAAAATTCTTCTAACTTATCGTATTTTATTTGTATAATGATAACTCAAGAAGTCGAAAGCAAGATATCAATTTATTTACATTATATGACTTTTACAGTTATCGTGACGACAAACCAACAAAAACAACAAGAACAAAAAAAAAACAATAAAAAAAAAACGGCAGACAAAAACCAGCGCTAATAAGACACTATACAATTAAAGCAGCACGCCTCCCGATTTATGTTAATTTTCGTGAAATTATTCAAAATGTATTAAAAAGTAAAATATTGTAAAGTGAACAAAGAAAATAATTTTCACAATGCAAAAAGCACTTAAAACCAATGTAAATTACCAAAAAGAGGTCAAAATAAGTTAAAATAGCCCTAACTATGTTAGTAACGCAGTAGAAATATGATTAAAAATACTGGAAAATCAGTCATAAATTGCACATAACATGGCAATTATTATTTTATCTTGAATCTCTTTTAACTTTTCTTAAAATGTCAGTACTTTTTTCTCTAGTTTGATTTTCTAGAACTATTTTGGTAAATCTGGAGGCATGCAGCTTTTAAGCACTCTACATACGCACACTGCGTGTTTTTTGTGTGTTTTTTTCTTCTTCGTGTTTAAAAATCGACTAAATATAACAGAATATTTAAAAAAGAGCATTGTGTTTTCGCCACTAGTTCAATAAAACTATCTGAAAGTTCATCAATCTATCACAGTGTTTATTCACTAAGCAGTGACGAGGACGATAATAGAAGCCGACAAGTCGGCCAAAAGCAGCCGGCTCGTCCCCTAAGCCTTTTTTTAACCAAGGTAATGCGTATTCTTTAAGTGGTAAAATCGGCATTTTACTCGCTTGGACAAATGTCAAGTTTATTCTTGATTTTCTGTAAAGGAAGTAAGTTAATTCTCATATTATATTATATGATGTCATAACCAAATTCCAGCGGATTATTATTTACTAAAGTTTTTTCACCGTGTAAGAATTATTGACTTAATTCACTAATTAAGTAGTATTACTCACTGTACACTAGCTAGAATTTGGACTTTAAACACTGAACAATTTTCATTCCGTGAAAGACGTATCCAGCAAGAAATTTTCTCAGCTCAAACTCAAATCTAAGACAGATTCACAGAATGTATACACGGGTCTCTACCAATAAAAATCCTGAGATTTGAGGCAAAAACTCAGGAAAATTGTTTATTACCTCAAAACATGCAGTGAGCAATTCCTAAAGCTAATACTAATAGCAGAATGATCTGTAATTTGCCTTCAAAATGATACATCATGAATTCCGTAAATGAATTAATGTTAGAAATAATCATTTTTGAAAAATGTAACAAATTATAGTAGAATAACAAATCTTCAAATATACATGTGTAAAGTAGACGGCTTATCATAAAAGCCTGAGAAAATATTTAAGACCCTCGTAATAACGACGTCTTCATATACTTGCAATAGTTACCTCCCTTTAAAGAAATAACGCCGTTTATAACTGAAAAAATGCTTTGATTCTTAATTCTTAGCGAGGGTAAACAAACCTAAACACACAAGATTGTTAATTCTGATGTCAGTAGCAGTAAACTAAGTACTTCTGGTAAATCATTTTCTATAGTGTTAAATAACTTTTTTAGTCTATGCAGCTCAATTTGACAATGAAAAAATGAGCATAATATCACTTTTAGTTAATTTAACATAGACCAAAGATAAGATAAGTTTTATTTCAAGTCGGCAAGTTTTCAACAGTACAACATAAGCTCTAGGAGCTTTTATAACCGACTGTATATAACATAAAGTATAAGATCAACAAAGATAAAACAGCTACAATAAAAATTGATAAATATAATTGATTATGTATACATAAAATCAGGTTAATATACGTACCTGATAAAATAGACCTTTTTAGATATTTTTATAAAAATGAATCAGATGCTAAAAAACTAAAATGATAATTTACCCAATTCAGTCACACTAAAGTCAATTATTCCTTTAATCCCTCTGTGGCAAATTATTATTTCACTGTGGTGAATCATTATGTGGTATTGTGGCGAATCATTGCTAATTTTGTATTAATAAAACACTGGAAAAAAAGACACTGAAAAATAAAATGGATTTCGTAATTGGGCCGAAATATGCATTGTGGCAAACCAGAATCACTCAATAAAGTTAAATATTGTTTGAAGTTATGCTTAAATTAGAATATTTGTAAAAAAACGGTTATAGATATAAAACAATTAAAAACTATTAATATGGTATTTACTAATGGGGATAGGGCATATATCTGTATTCCAAGAATCCGGGTCAGCTCGGCCCTAAAACGTACTCGGCCCGCGAGTCAGCTTGGCCCTATTCCAACTCGGCACGGGTCAACTCGGCCCGCTTTTCAATTACTAATATTTAGGTTTGTGTTATCACTATTTATTGTAATTATTGTAATTATTAAAATAACACACGGATTGACAGTTTCCGAACTAGCAGCAGACTGGCTTTTCTTATCAGTAGAATTGCGAGTAAAGATAACTGATTGAGTATCTTACTATATTTCTGACTTAAAGTGGTAGGTTTAAATACCTTCAGTGTCAAACAATGTGTTGAAATATATACTGAGAGAAAGCTAAGATCACCAGCTTTAATTAATGTCATAAATTTTAAAATCGAACATTACATCGCACTAACGATTTAAACACGGATAAATTTACATTAGGGAAACTAAGGGAAACAACTCTTGTTTGTTTTTTTCTCTCAATTTATCTGGGTTATAAACGTAGTTCATTAATAGACTGTGGAGACAGAGAGAGTTTATAAATATAACAAAGAGCAAACAGTGCTAATATATAGAAGCTTATCATATTAAGTATAGTTTAAGTAAACACGCTTTTGTTTCATATTTTTTTGAATATTACTTTACAAACAAAATGCATCTAAGGAAACACATTTTTATTAGATCTATATTAATTTTAACGAATCTACAAGACAAATAAATAAAAAAATTTGTCTAAATATAGTTATATACTTTATTTCGGCAGAAGTACAATGTATAATTATATAATAATAAGATATTTCTTATTATTCATTTACCTTAACAACATGCAAAGCAAAGTTAATATGTTATATAAATTTTTGTAAAGTGGGCCGAGTTGACCCGTGCCGAGTTGGTATAGAGCCGAGTTGACTCTTTACGGTATTCCAATACCAATAAAGTCACCATGCATTTTTTTTATCTTGAGATATTATGAAATTAGGTGCCACAATACCTATGAAAATGTTTCAGTTTATAAAACAGATCTATCCCTTTTCTGTTTCTAGGTGTTATTCTGTATTTTGTTCAATGTAGTTTTGAAAATAAATCTGTAATAAAACAGGGGTGTGGGTCAGAAGTCTCCCAATAAGCAAATGTGCAAATATTATTTTATCTTCTGAGGTCTGTTAACCTACATGTGTTTCCATATTTTTTGTACCATAAAATGGATATATGAATGAATTTGTGGTGTTGTAATATTCATCGATGTGTTCAGTGTCAGTGTTTTTTTTCACTTTTGGGGAAGGGGGCTGGTGCCCTTTGGAGGGGGAAAATGCAATAGGAGGGGGACTTTTATTTGTATACTTATTTTATATTGTTTTCTTTGCGGTAGAAAAGGGAGCAACTCTTGCAACACAAGTTTAAAATATGTCGCTTTTTCTTAATACATGTATATGGATCTAAAATATGGATGTGTCGCATGTTAAACTTGATGGGACGCCGGGAGTAGTTCCCCTTACCTACCCGAGAACGATTTGTAAACAACCTTGCTTAACAGTAACTCTTACAGGCAAAAATAAAACATTTTTCTGCAGTTGAGTTGCAAAAAAAAAAAAGATATTTATTGCAGGCAAATTCTTGCTGCCATAAAGGGGGAAATTTTGGCTTTGAGGGGGGAAAAACATACTATTTTGAGGGGGGAATGGGGCCAAATTTCGCGAAATATTTTGGTGAAATAAAACACTGAGTGTGATTCCAAATATCTTGTCCACCATTTTTGTTAATCTCTAATCAGAGTTGTTGATTTTACCTTATTTAAACCTGATGATTTATCAAAATAGTTATTTAAAGAGTAACTTTTTATATTTATCATCGTTACTTTAGTTCTTATTAATGTAATTTTCCTAGTTTTAACTACACCAACATGTTATGGGAAGAATATACTGAAATATTCCTTTTCTCCTTTTCAGACTGTTCAGAGCTATGACCAGCATGGAAACTCTTTTAGTCCGTCACTTACCAAATGATCTAAATGATCAAGAAAAGATAGATCTTTTGTGCCACTTTGGAGCCAAAGCTGTCAGACCCATGGGTACTAAAGGTACTATGAAGCATACAGCGTTCGCAAAATTTCAAAACCATGATGCAGCAGAAAAATGCCTACGGAGACTACATCAGTTAGAGATTCTTGGTTGTAAGTTAGTTGTAGAATTTGCTCAGTCTCAGCATGAAAAACACTTCCCCACTCAAAGTTTAGAGACAAAATCAAAAGAAAAGGATGTGCCCATACCTGTAGAAGACACATCACATGTTACTGAGGTTACACCTGATAAGAAAATCGATGATGCATATAAAAAGCATAATATACTTTACCCGAAGAAACCTACGCTGAATTATATGTACCCACCCCCTACTGTATCAACACTCACAAATATTGCCAATGCATTGGCGTCACATCCGAAATTCTACACTCAAGTTTTACATTTAATGAATAAGATGAACCTTCCTTGTCCTTTTGGTCCAGTAACTGCGTCGCCACCTTTGGCACTAGAAAGCGCCAGATATTTGGGACGTGAGAAGAAAAGTGGAAAAGGAGAACAGTATGTTCCAGAGGACATTGAAGAGGTTGAGATGGAATATTCAAGCTCAGAGGAGTCTGAAATAGAATCTGATGCTGATGGTGGCAGTAGAAGAAAAGAAAATACTGATCTTGGTAAGGAGTCAGTTGTGCGTAAGAAATTAAAAAGACCAAGGAAGAGAATGAGACTTATTCAACCAGATATGTCAATGATCATAAAGCCTGTGTCTGTCCAAAAAACAAGTGAAGTCTTTGAAGCAACACATTTGAAAACTTCTCAGATACAGTTTAAAATATCCGAGGCAGATATCAGCAAACAGTTGAATGCAGGAGAGGGAGAAACAGAGAATAAGATAGAAGAACATGCTACTGTAACAGAAGGTGGATTTGGTAAAGTTGAACCGCAGAGCAAACCAAAATTGGAAGTTGAAATGCAGAAAACTGACGTCAATTACAAAATAGATCGAAAACTGTTCTTAAATGTAAAGCAAATAGAAGAAGGGAGGTTAAAAAAGGAGCAAATGAAAGATTTCTCAGTGTTTAAGAAGTATTCCTCTGGAGACCCAACCAGCAGGTTGTATATAAAGAACTTGACCAAACACACAACAGAACAGGACCTGATGAACCTCTTTGGTTCATTTATTGATTGGTCACAAGATTTAGCTTGCGAAGCATTTGATATAAGGTTAATGAAAGAAGGCAGGATGAAAGGTCAGGCTTTCGTAACACTACCGAATGAGAACGAAGCAGTGAATATTGTTAAAGAATGTAATGGTTTTATTCTGAACAATAAGCCAATAGTGATTCAGTTTGCGCGTTCAGCAAAGGCGAAGCAGTTGACAAGCCTTTAGATGACTTCAGATACCGTGTAGTCATGGTAATTTAACAAGTGGCTGTGGAGATCTTAAACTTATATTAAACCAGACTTTAAATTTATGTAACTTGGTCGTATTTCATATTATTCAATCTTGTTTTCTCATAGAACTATGTGAAACAGTTAACATAGAAATAATAAGATCTACCGTACATTTTCCTATTGTTGATTTGTTTTCATGCTTTTGTCTTTTTTGGCATTGATAACATATTGGTTACCCTATTATAATTGCACACCTCAAAATAGACACTTTTTTTTAAAGCAATCAAACTCTAAGGCACATTCTAAGCCTCTAAACTGAAAACATTTTTTATCTTTTTAAAAAGAGCAAACTAGTGTACTAATGTTTTTATAATGCATTATGGGTTGAAGGCATATATTAAGTGTAACTACATGGAGTAAGTAGTACAGTGAAATAATATGCACTATAAGTAGCAACAAAGTGGCATTTACACATTGTTTTGTTTTAATATAGGAATATTGATTTGGAATTTAATATGAGAATTTATACTTGTGAGAAATTCTAAGAATTCTTGTAATTACTTTGTACATCAATGAACTACTAGTATCCCATTTCTGTTTTTATGCACATTTGTGTATTTAACATGCATAATTATGAATGAGACTATTATGTTTGTCAAAATAAAAAACATCAACAAAATTTGATATATTGTCATTTTTAGCTTTGCTGTATGTAGAGTTAACCTTCTAACTCTTGTGATCAAATTTTGATAAAAGTTTTTATGCAACAAGATAATTTTTACTATAATATTTTCCACAATACATAAAAGATTTCCTTCAGATATCAAATTTAGGTGCTTTGCTTTAACCAAGATAGGAGACAAATGTAATTATGACAGTTACTAAGACTCATATATAGTAATTATATTTTGAGATTTGAACTTATATTTACAATTTTACTTAAGTTTATTCCCTAGGTTTGTTTCTATAGAGATCTACTTCAAACCTTACATAGCTGGGTTTATTCTTCTCTTTATATACAATAAAGTATAATGTAACTCTTGGGAATTGTCTCCCCTTTAAACATAAAAAACTTTAGTTAGAGTTTTGCCTGAAAATGTTATTTTCAGCTTCATTATTCGAAAAATTGTGGTTTATTGGAGAAAAGAACTCTTCTAACAAAACTGACCTGATGATTAATTAAATGTGACCTTGACCTTTGAATGACCTTAACTGTCAAGATTATACTTTGCTTAAATTGTCATAACTATTTATTATGATTGACAGATTTCATTCATACTGAGACAACACAACACTTTATATGGCAACACCAACATGTTAAATAATTTAAGTATGATCTTAATTTGTAAATGACTTTGACTGTCAAGGTCAAATATGAAATTGGAATAATTTTGTCAAAGAAAATGATGTTTCCTAGGAATTTTCTTTGCCACAATATTCTTCCTCTGATGTGTTTTACTTAAGAAATACTGAGAAAAATTAAGCATGACCCTGGCTCTTGGTTGTGGCTGTAGTTTTGTATTGTATTTTTAGGGGTAACCAACTAGTACTACTTAGTACATGTACATGAATAGGTGCTGTTATCAGTCTATTAAAGGCATCTGGGTGCCTTATAAAAGCTATACCCAGCATGGCAAATAATTTCCAGTCCTGTGCAATGCCCTCATTTCACTTGTTGTTTATTTGAGAAATCAGATATTGTCCGTATAGTTTAGCTGAACTTTATTTTTACATTACAAGTCATTTTGATACATTTACATGTAGGTGTGTACAAAATATAAGAAAGTCCATTTTAATTTGGTTTTTACAAATTATGAAACATTAGCTCAAAAGCTATTAACTGATAAAAACAAAGACCATACAATACATATGACCTAGCATAATTATAACAAATTTGAAAAGTAAAATACATTAAAAATACTTTTTATGCTAATGTTAACCTTTTACCCCATGTGCTTATTGTGAAAAATGGCCGTTTTCATTGAAAAGCCTCCTGTTACAAGTTCCAACTGCTTTAAAACTATGAAAAATGCTTCAATACTGATGAAACTTGACACATATGTTGACTGAACCATAACCTCTGTAATGACATGCTCAATCATAAATTTCCTGTTACAATGGCAACGGGGGGACGTGACGTCTCTAAATTGCTAAAAAATCACTATTTTGCATTGTTTTTTCCATCAAAACTGATTTCAAAGTGCTGCAACTTCTCAATGCAATGAGATAGAGTAAAAGGCTTATGGACCTGAGGCCATTTTTAGCTCGACTTTTTTTTTTTTTTGAAAAAAAAAGTAGAGGTATTGTTATAGTCAGGTCGGCCTTCCCGTTGCCGTTCGCAAACTTGTACCTGGATCATAACTTTTTTATTTCTTGGTGTATTGTCTTCATACTTGGCCACAACAACCCTTGGGACAAGACCTTTCAGTAGACCACACTAACCTTGACCTTCATCCATAAATGACCTTGACCTTCAAGGTTAAAAGTCCAATTTTTGCTTGTTCATGCTGTTATTGGCTGTAACTGAGTTTTTGACCTTCAAAGTCAAGGTCATTTATAAGTGAAGGTCAAGGTCTGACTGGTTATTTTTAAGGGATATCCTTGAAGATTATTATGTTCAAGTTTGAAGACAATCCATTCAAAAATAACAAAGTTACAGCCAATAACAGCATGAACAAGCAAAAATTGGACTTTTAACCTTGAAGGTCAAGGTCATTTATGGATGAAGGTCAAGGTTAGTGTGGTCTACTGAAAGGTCTTGTCCCAAGGGTTGTTGTGGCCATATATATATATATATATATATATATATAGAAATGAGAGAATATATACACACATACCACCACATCGATATGCCAGTCCAATTACGGCACAGCGCCTAGCAGAACAGTCATGAAAGCATAGCCACTGCTCATCCACCATCACAAAAATGATGGTTTCAGAACAGCTTTATATACAGTCACAAACTGCACTACACATTGAAACAAGCTCAGCATTCACATATATAGAGTTTGTTCTCTGTTAACATATCTCACAAATCAACGATGACATTTTATTGTCTTCTTCACTGATTGGGACCAGAGAACTATATATCTATTTCCGAAAGTCAACTGGATCCCGTAAGATCAAGTAGATCCGTAGGATACAATGAATTTAGACAGATAAAGTATATATAAAGGGAGATAATTAAATTCAATACAGTTATACTTTCCCCTGCGTGGGATCACTTAAGATACAATTGTGCAGATAAATTGATAGAAATGAGAGAATATATACACACATACCACCACATCGATATGCCAGTCCAATTACGGCACAGCGCCTAGCAGAACAGTCATGAAAGCATAGCCACTGCTCATCCACCATCACAAAAATGATGGTTTCAGAACAGCTTTATATACAGTCACAAACTGCACTACACATTGAAACAAGCTCAACATTCACATATATAGAGTTTGTTCTCTGTTAACATATCTCACAAATCAACGATGACATTTATTGTCTTCTTCACTGATTGGGACCAGAGAACTATATATCTATTTCCGAAAGTCAACTGGATCCCGTAAGATCAAGTAGATCCATAGGATACAATGAATTTAGACAGATAAAGTATATATAAAGGGAGATAATTAAATTCAATACAGTTATACTTTCCCCTGCGTGGGATCACTTAAGATACAATATATATATATATATATGCATGTATATATATATATATATATGCATGTATATATATTTATATATATATATATATATATATATATATATATATATATATATATATATAAATATATATATATATAAATTGCGTCATTGTTTCTATTTTTAGAAATTGCGTCATTGTTTTGCTATTTTTAGAAATTGCATCATTGTTTCTATTTTTAGAAATTGCGTCATTGTTTCTACTTTTAGAAATTGCGTCATGTTGCTTTTTTTAGAAATTGCGTAATGTTTCTATTCATATATATATACAAAATATATAAACAAAACTAATGTGACAAGACAGACCAACTAAATTTATAAAAAGGAAACGTTAAGATATGTTCAAACCTTTCTATGTTTGCGTTTAGATAAAGTAAAAAGTCGAGCGTTGCCCCCGCCCGGCGGTGGCTCTTGTTAGCCTGTGACATGTCCAAAATTTTCTTGGCGATGAGGGGGATTACCGCCCACTTCCCCCAAACAGAAGGGGGCACATCCCTCTTCTGGCAACCCCCTGATGTATCCTTTTGATGGGGGGCCGCGCTTTTAACAACATTTCTCAAAGGAAAAACTGTGTTTTGGGCCTAAATAGGACATTTTTTTCACTGTTTGAGGCCTCAAAAAAAGGGGGAGGGACTAAAAGCAGTCAAAACACCTCTACATCTGGGAAAAAGTTAAAGAAAGCAGTAAACTGTAATAATAATAATATGCAATAAGTTGAGCAGTTACATATGTAAAGTACATATTGTATGGAGCTGACAGCTTAAAAGAAATTAAATACTATAGCATAAAGGGAGCTAACAGCTTAATGTAATAAACTAGTATAGCATAAAGGGAGATAACAACTAAAATATAAAAAAAAACTTACTATAGCATAAAGTGAGCTAACACCTAATCAGGCTGATGTATAATATAATAATCTAGCATAAAGGGAGCTAACACCTAATGTATGATTTAATATTCTAGCATAAAGAGAGCTAAAACCTAATGTATTATATACTATTCTAGCTTAAAGAGAGCTAAAACCTAATGTAAAATATCATATTCTAGCATAAAGAGATCAGTAACACCTTAATAAAATATAGTAAAATACTATAGCATAAGGAGAGCTAACACTAATGTAAGATATAATATTCTATCATAAAAGGAGCTAACACCTAAAATATAATAAAATACTATAGAATAAAAAATGGTAACACCTAATGTATAATATAATATTCTAGCATGAAGAGAGCTAACACCTAAAATATAATAATAAAATACTATAGCATAAAGAGAGCTAACACCTTATGTAAAATATAATATTCTAGCATAAAGGGAGCTATAACCTAAAATATAATAAAATACTATAGAATAAAAAGACCTAACACCTTAATATGTTAAATTTAATATTCTAGCATAAAGGGAGCTCACACCTAAAATATAATAAAATACTATAGCATAAAGAGAGCTAACACATAATGTATAATGTAATATTCTAGCAAAACGAGAGTTAACACCTTATGTATAATATAGTATTCTAGCAAAAAGGGAGCTAACACCTTATATATAATATAGTATTCTAGCATAAAGGGAGCTAACACCTAATGTAAAATATTATATTCCAGAATAAAGACAGCTAACACCTGATGTATAATGTTATATTCTAGCATAAAGGGAGCTAACACCTAATGTATAATATAGTATTCTAGCATAAAGGGAGCTAACACCTAATGTAAAATATTATATTCCAGCATAAAGGAAGCTAACAACTTAAATATAACAAAATACTATAGCATGAAGAGAGCTAACATCTTGTGTATAATATAATGTTTTCTATTATAAAGGGAGCTAACACCTAATGTATAATATAATATTCTAGCATAAAGAGAGATAAAACCTATTGTATTATATAATATTCTGTCATAAAGGGAGCTAACAACTTATATATTATAATATTCTAGAATGAAGGGAGCTAACACCTAAAATATAATAAAATACTTAAGCATAAAGAGAGCTAACACCTAATGTATAATATAACATTCTAGCATAAAGCGAGCTAACACCTCATGTATAATGTAATATTCTAGCATAAAGGGAGCTAACACATAGAATATATAATATAATATTCTAGCATAAAGAGAGGTAACATCTTAAATATAATAATAAAATACTATAGCATAAAGAGAGCTAACACCTTATGTAAAATATAATATTCTAGCATAAAGGGAGCTATAACCTAAAATATAATAAAATACTATAGATTAAAAAGAGCTAACACCTTAATATGTTAAATATAATATTCTAGCATAAAGGGAGCTCACACCTAAAATATAATAAAATACTATAGCATAAAGAGAGCTAACACATAATGTATAATGTAATATTCTAGCAAAAGGAGAGTTAACACCTAATGTATAATATGAGCCGCGTCATGACAAAACCAACATAGTGGGTTTGCGACCAGCATGGATCCAGACCAGCCTGCGCATCCGCGCAGTCTGATCAGGATCCATGCTGTTCGTTATCAGTTTCTCTACTTGTTATAGGGTTTGTAAGCGAACAGCATGGATCCTGATCAGACTGCGCGGATGTGCAGGCTGGTCTGGATCCATGCTGGTCGCAAACCCATTATGTTGGTTTTGTCATGACACGGCTCAATTATAGTATTCTAGCAAAAAGGGAGCTAACACCTTATATATAATATAGTATTCTAGCATAAAGGGAGCTAACACCTTATGTAAAATATAATATTCTAGCATAAAGGGAGCTCACACCTAAAATATAATAAAATACTATAGCATAAAGAGAGCTAACACATAATGTATAATGTAATATTCTAGCAAAACGAGAGTTAACACCTAATGTATAATAATTGAGCCGCGTCATGACAAAACCAACATAGTGGGTTTGCGACCAGCATGGATCCAGACCAGCCTGCGCATCCGCGCAGTCTGATCAGGATCCATGCTGTTTGTTATCAGTTTCTCTACTTGTTATAGGGTTTGTAAGCGAACAGCATGGATCCTGATCAGACTGCGCGGATGCGCAGGCTGGCCTGGATCCATGCTGGTCGCAAACCCATTATGTTGGTTTTGTCATGACACGGCTCAATTATAGTAGTCTAGCAAAAAGGGAGCTAACACCTTATATATAATATAGTATTCTAGCATAAAGGGAGCTAACACCTAATGTAAAATATTATATTCCAGAATAAAGAGAGCTAACGCCTGATGTATAATGTTATATTCTAGCATAAAGGGAGCTAACACCTAATGTATAATATAGTATTCTAGCATAAAGGGAGCTAACACCTAATGTAAAATATTATATTCCAGCATAAAGAGAGCTAACACCTAATGTATAATGTAATATTCTAGCATGAAGGGAGCTAACACCTAATGTATAATATATTATTCTAGCAAAAAGGGAGCTAACAACTTAAGTATAACAAAATACTATAGCATAAAGAGAGCTAACATCTTATGTATAATATAATGTTTTCTATTATAAAGGGAGCTAACACCTAATGTATAATATAATATTCTAGCATAAAGAGAGATAAAACCTATTGTATTATATAATATTCTATCATAAAGGGAGCTAACAACTTATGTATATTATTATATTCTAGAATGAATGGAGCTAACACCTAAAATATAATAAAATACTTAAGCATAAGGAGAGCTAACACCTTATGTATAATATAACATTCTAGCATAAAGCGAGCTAACACCTCATGTATAATGTAATATTCTAGCATAAAGGGAGCTAACACCTAATGTATAATATAACATTCTAGCATAAAGAGAGCTAACATCTAAAATATAATTATAGAATACTTAAGCATAAAGAGAGCTAACACCTAATGTATAATGTAATATTTTAGCATAAAGGGATCTAACACCTAATGCATAACATAATATTCTAGCATAAATGGAGCTAACACCTAATGTATAATTTAATATTCTAGCATAAAGGGAGCTAACACCTTATGTATAATATAATATTCTTACATTAAGGGAGCTAACACCTAATGTATAATATAGTATTCTAGCATTAAGGGAGCTAACACCTAATGTATAATATAGTATTCTAGCATAAAGGGAGCTTACACCTAATGTATATAATAATATTCTAGAATAAAGGGAGCTAACACCTAAATTATAATAAAATACTTAAGCATAAAGAGAGCTAACACCTTATGTATAATATAATATTCTAGCATAAAGGGAGCTGAAACCTAAATTGTATAATGTATTATTCTAGCATAAAGGAAGCTAACACCTATAATGTATAACATAATATTCTAGCATAAAGAGAGGTAACATCTTAAATATAATAATAAAATACTATAGCATGAAGAGATCTAACACCTTATGTAAAATATAATATTCTAGCATAAAGGGAGCTTAAATTACACCTAAAATATAATAAAACACTATAGAATAAAAAGAGCTTACAGCTAATGTTTAATATAATATTCTAGCATAAATGGAGCCAACACCTAATGTAAAATATAATATTCTAGCATAAAAGTGCTAACATCTAATATATAATATAATGTTTTAGCATAAAGGGAGCTAACACCTAATATATAATATAATATTCTAGCATAAAGAAAGCTAACACCTAATATATAATATAATATCTAGCAACCTAATATATATAATATAATATTCTAGCATAAAGGGAGCTTTCACCTATAAAGCATAAAGAGAGCTAACACTTTATGTATAATATAATATTTTAGCATAGAGTGAGCTAACACCTAATGTATTATATAATATTCTAGCATAAAAGAAGCCTACACATAATGTGTAATAGTTTAGCATAAAGAGAGCTAACACCCAATGCATAATATAATATTCTAGCATAAAGGGAGCTAACATCTAAAACATAAATAAATACTGCAGCATTTCTGCATTTATTAATGTTATAAATTAATATAGAATAAAGGGAGCTAAGAGTTAAAAATTAATTTGATAAATTACTAACTATAGCATAAAGGGAGCTAACAAATTAACAATAATAAAATACTCTAGCTTAAAGGGAGGTAACAAATATAATAAAATACTTTATCATAAAGGTTAGTTAACATTTAGAGTATATACAAAACAAAATATTGACTAAATGATTGCCCATTATCTAAAGTAAAAATAGAACATAGAAGTAAAAACTGTATTAAATAAATTTTAGATATAAGAACACTTAAAGGATTAAGAAACTAGGCATACAGAAAATATTTCAAACGAAAGAGCATGTAAGCACACAATACACTCATCATACAAAGTTTAAAAAGAAAATGCTGTAGTCAGTACTTATAAAGCAATGCAAGCTAAAAAGAGGGGGTGGGGGAACAACAACAAAGTTTAACAGAAAATTACAAGATTAAACACACATAGCACATTTACAGCTTGGGACACTCCAGGTCCGGATCAATCTCCCAAAACTCTCTGTAGTTTTCAACTTCAACCTTTTGGATGTTATTTAGGAGGCTGTTCAAAATCTGAGCACCCTCAAACCTAGAAGACTTAATTATTACCATATGCTGTTGTTCTGTAACCCATGGTACATATCTGCACCTTTTTATACCTAAAAGATTTATAGAAATTCTTAGATTTAACCGAGGTGATTTTTCTTAAAGGAATTTAAAGTCTGCTTTGGCTATAGTTTTGATTTCAGATAAAGGTTTCTTTTTTATAATTAACTGAGTCACAGTAGACATGTAGAGTTAAAATCATTGAAAACTATTCTTAGAGCTTTATGTTAAAGTTTTTCAAGCTTTTCAGAGTTAGTTTAAGAGCAGAAATACCAGACCAAGATAGAGTAGTTAAAATCACTGCCATTAAATTCTACACATGCATGATTCGCTAATATTTCATCAATCAAAATCTCTGGAAATTTAAATTTGCAAATTGTTCGACATGGGGAAATATCCAGAGATACAGTAATTGATTTGCAGCGTTTCTTTTACACATTCTGGTGAACTATTTATCAAAGTCAAGTAAAATATCTATGTATCTTATATACTGCTCAGGATTGATTGTTAAGCAGTATGGTGTAGTTGTAGATGTCTACCCCAAACAGTTTAACGCAATCTTCATAATCTTATAAAATTATCGATTTGGAACTGTTTTAAGTGTTCTTTTGTAGTTAAAAAAACCTGTAAGATTCATAAGTTTTAGTTTTTTACATTACCCATGTATCGAAAATAACTGTACGAAAAGGTACGAATTATATTAAAGACGAACCAAGTATACGAGTTGTAATGAGAACGAAACAAATAAGTACGGGAACCAGTGTGTTGGATCCGAATAATATGACAGTTACGTGAAATGGTGCAAGAAAGTTGAATACATATTAATAGCTGATCAATGCTATTTTTGAGCAGAATTCGTCTGTTTAGATCTAGTGCATGCATCAAATTTTCAAGAACCATGTCTAGATTTAATGTCAGATGTGTTGACACGGATTCTTCTCTTCAAATTTCCGTGGAATATGCCCCCGCCGGTGGTTCAACAAGCAGAATTTTCAATGCATGCAGACCGAAGATTGAAAACGTGGAAACTTCTTTAACAAGATTGGCCCAGAATATTAACAAACATTTCAGCAAAAAGAAAAAGAAGAAAGACTCCGACATTAAAGAGGTGACTGTTGAATTATATGAAACAGATGGGGTTACAAAAATTTGTGATCCAGTTTCTGCAGAGGATGGATTTTCCCATGGAAATATTGTACAGATTCTAGACTCCAAGTATACAGTCGATGTAAATGGACCATGTTGTCTTGGTATTGTAATTCCGCAGTCAGTTATGGTGGGGTTTCCATTGTTTCCGAAAGTTAATGCTGAATTTTGTAATCTTGATAAATCAGAGTTTATGTGGGAAAAGATAAAATACAGAGCTGATAATACTGCTGAAAACAGCAAGTCCAGAAAACAGAATTCATCTATTATAGAAGAGAGAAAGGAGATATGTAGAACTTTGTCATACACACCAACCAATGATGATATAGGATACTGTCTGTCATTTACATGTATTCCAAAATCAGGGGAAAGATCAGGGAAACCATTTACAGTAGAAGCTAAACATGAAGTCACGGCGGGACCAGGTATTTGTCCATTTGAAACAAGACATCTCTATACCCAGAAAGAAACGGAACAAAACGAGTATGTATATATTTATGTTAGATGCTGAAAAGTCTAGTACTTCAAATATGATGTTGCTTTGACATATATTAATTCTTGGCAACATCATAAACTGTAACAAGTGTAACATTTGGTATATTGGACTAAATAACAGAAAAGTCAAGTTGCAAGATTTACTTATGTACAGCATTGACTGATTTTTATAGCTGTCAGAAAATGACATAAAGGGGAATCCCAGAAAATGGGTGGTATGGCTGGGGATTCCTGGAAAATTGCTACAACATGTAAAATGTAAATGTTTATACAGTCATATATGTCACTTATAAATATAGATCACAAGGGATTCATTTTAGATATGTTTCAAACACATACTCAGTTACTCATTCAACTTGTTCATATTTTTCAGAATTCGTGTGGTATCGTATAACATCTTAGCAGACATCTATGCTGACCAGGATTACTCTAGGGACGTGCTATATTCTTATTGTCCTGCATATGCCCTAGACATTGACTACAGAAAACCTCTTATCATAAAGGAGCTTAAAGGTTAGTATTAACGACATATAGTTTTATTTAAATTGCCCACAGGGTATATTGAATGAACAATACTTAACTGGGGGTGTTAGAAGTTTTGCTTAGTCTGTGACATAATGTTTTTCTGCCATTCAGATTAAAATTTCATGATGAACACAAGTTATGCAGTCATTGTTGTTCTTCAGATTGAAGCTGCACATAATACTTGAAAGGGTGCGTTGCAGTATAAATAGATAGATAGATATAGATAGCTTGAGGTCATTGATATTGACAGGAAGTATCACAGTTCTGTTGAAGAGCTCATTCTTTTAAGCTAGAGCTTATACTTTTCAGTTGGAGTATTTACTGTAGAGTTCCCTTACTTAAGCTGGAGACAATCTAACTGCTGGTCACATATTTCTATTGAATTCAAATGAGATCACATACTTAAGGTAGAAAGCACCAGTTTACTAAACAAAATATATATATTCGGTATGTATATTATATGTAAACGGGTGCTGGATAGTAATTTTGTTCTTGATGATCAAGGGGAGATAATTTTATAATAATGTCATCATTATTGGCAAAGCAAATGTGCCGAACACCTGTGGTATGTCATAGCAGTTCATGTACATTTTTGAGACGGATTTTTTTGTATTTTTGGTATCATTTTCAGGTTACAATGGAGATATAATTTGTCTACAGGAAGTGGATTCTAAAGTATTTAAATCTGAGTTAGGGACGGCTCTGGCTCTGTTAGGATTCCAAGGTTTCTACAAAGAGAAAGGAGGGGAAGTCAGGGAAGGATCTGCCATTTACATCAGAAAGTCTAAATTCAGGTTAGATCAGCTTTGTCTTTAAATTTACAATTTTAGTTTTAGTTTTCCAAATTAATATAAATTTATGCACAAAAACATCAGACTGCCTTTCATAAACAGGACATGCTTGAAAAAGGTAAATTTGAATTTGAGTTTGTAGAACTATTTCACTGTTGGATAATAATTTTTTTTTTAAAGAATTAATACAAAAAATGTACAATAACTGATGACCTAAAGACATCACATGCTAAATGATAACATAAAAGAAATCCTCGGTGAGCAATACTGTTATACAGGTGCTTGAAGATTGCATGATGTTTAATTAATATACATGTGTTTGTACATGTTGTAGTTCTGTTGTTTGGCTTATCAGAATCATGTGTCTTAAATTAAAATGTTTTAATATTCAGAGTGGTTGCCGAGTACGGAGAACAGATTAAAGATATCCTTGAGACAAATCCGGTGTGTTCTGACATAATCAAGAAAGTGTACACCGTTCCTGCACTAAAAGAAATGTTTCAAACAAGAACAACTGTTATACATGTGAGTAGTTTCTTAAGCTTGACCATTCAAAGTTTAGAGAGAGCTATTGTACTTAACCCGGCATCAATGTCGGCGTCTGTGTCATACTAAGGTTAAGTCTTTGCAGGAAAGTTTGTAACTCCAAAACTGCTGAAGGGAATGTGTTGAAACTTCACACACTTATTTGAAAGCATAATAGGCAGTCATTCTCCAAGGTCCATAACTCTGTTTAATGGATTTGGATAGACTTTTGCACTCAGTTCTACCTTTTCAAGAATCTTGTTTTACTACCAAGCACTAGGAATAATCAAACATGCTGTCTTATCTACAGTAAATGTTATATTTTGATATTGACTTCAGAAAGATTTGAATGGATTGTACCAAAGTCAAAACGGGGCAAATTCATTACACAAATTCAGAAGGAAAATGATTAAAGACCCTGTTTGTTGTAATTAAGGATGTAACAATGGCAAATGTTTTCACGCATTAATAGTAATCATTAAAATTTATGCATAATGCAGCATTCATTTCTTATTAAAAAATTTGGCTTAGACTTTATCAAAAATAAATTTCTAATTACCTCCCTTTATTTACATGAAATGTAAATTTGGTAATATCTTTACAAATAATGCTTTTTGGAACTTACAATATTGATTAATCTTCATTTGAGCATCATATTTATGATACAAACCATAAACAAATTTGAGTTACAGGATCTTTAAAACACAACCAAGATGCAAAACATGAGCCAAATAAATTAGAAGTTTGTGTTTCCCTTGTTTGTTGCAGATAGTTGCTATAGAGCCAGTAAGTGATCCAGGAAAGATAATACTCGTTGCAAACACACATTTATACTTTCATCCGAATGCTGGTCATATACGCATGTTACAAGTTCTCGTTGCCATGAGGTTTATAGAGTCTCTACTTCAGCAATATAAGAAACAGGTAATTTGAGCAATATATGAAACAGGTAATTTCAGAAATATATGAAACAGGTAATTTTAGCAATATAAGAAACAGGTTATGTCAGAAATATAAGAAACTGGTTATTTCAGCAATATAAGAAGAAAAAAAGAGCAAGGGAGATAATTTTTCAAAAAACAAAATGGCATTAAATGGTTTTGACCAGATGGAATGACGGACAAGTCCATTAAAATTATTAGTGATCATAGGAAAGAAAGCAATGCTATATTATATCATATTATATTTTATCAGATGGTCATAAAGCAAGACGCAGGAGTGTAATGACACCATTTAATAAAATGTAAACACTTGTGATTCAACACTTTGACGTGACGTCATTTGCGTTATATACAAACATAGCGTTAAAGCACACTAATGTTAGTGTTACATTATTGGTGTGTCAATGAATAATGACTCTTTTAAACTGTAAACAGTTCGTTTTTAGATATGTTATAAATAGAATGTAATATTTGTGTAAATTTAACTGTAAATTTATAAAAGGAGTTGAATAAAACAATATAATGCTTGCCAGGGGCATGCATAATATGATTTTATTCAATTCGTTCCATTAATTTAGTATTAAATGTACACCCATTCAATTTATTCCATATATCATATCATATGGATTTATATATATCATATGCCATAACGTATTATACATTGTATTATATTCAGAGGCCAAGCTTGATCTTCTGTGGTGATTTTAACAGCACTCCTCATAGAGCTATTTATGAGTTTATGACAACAAAGTCAGTAAAGGAGGACAACATTGATTGGAAAGATGGTAAATTTTCTTTTCTTTTGCTCAGTTTAATCATATCATAATTATCCAAGGTTTGTTGCAATTAAAGCTTGAAGCCAGTTCGAACCACTCTCAAGATAGAATTCTTGAAGTAACCAGTACATGTACTTGTGTAATAACTTAACAGTATTATGAGGCATCCGTGGCTGAGTTGGGAAGGTTGTTGACTTCAATCCCCTTGCCTCTCACTGCTGTAGGTTTGAGTTGTGCAAGCGTCTTCAGATTCTTTCATGTGAGAAAACTTTCAAGCTAGCTTAAGGAACGTTGGTGGTTTGTGCAGGAAATACTTTAGATGTAGAGCTGTCATTGATAGAAATAATATCAGTATACCCTTGATGGTTTTCTATTGATAAATAATCAATGCACATTGATAATGATGCCCCCATTGAAAGAAGTGGGGATATATTGCTATGTAAAGTCTGTTGGTTAGTCTATGGACCAAATTGTTCCTGATCAGCTTACTTCTAGGAATAGAAACTGTAAACTTGGTATGAAGATTGCTCATAAACTTAAGATGAAGCCTAATTTTTAGGGGGGTCACTAGGTCAAAGGTCAAATTGACCTTGTAATTCAAAACAGTTTTCGACCAGTAAATTCACAACACATGGGCCTTCACCCTCAAACTTCACTGGTGTATTGGTCTGGGCCAGAAGATAACTACCATTACTTTTGAGTTTGCAGTGTCAATGTCAAGGACATATTTAGCATGAATGTGAAATTGGTTTCTGACCAATAACTTTACAACCAAATGGCCCACGGTCCTCGCTTCAAACTTCATTGAAGTATTGGTCTTGGGCACTTCATTATTCTTTTGATTTTTGAGTCAAGTGCTCAGAGGTCAAGGTCACATTGACCTTGTAGGACCAAAGTCAACATTTTTTATGCTGAATCAATGACAGCTATATTTCTTGTACAATTAGATAGGTGATATTGTGGTAATTTTCTCATTGCATTGCCTAAATTCTTAGAATCCCCCAACCCCCACCCCAACAAAAAGCAAAACAGAAAACAAAATGAAATTATTATCAGTTTTCAGGAAAACTGGATAAGTATAATGCTTCATTCAGAAAGCTTTGATTTTAGCAAACATTTGCAGGCTCCGTTAGATATGTATAATAGCATATAAAACACAGATTTTACTCAAATTCAACCAAAATTCACTGTTCTAATAATGTCTCCCTTTACATCAGGTATTTTTGTAGGCCAAGCTATATGCAATCTTTTCCTGGTGGTATATTTAAAGCATACACCATACTTTATTGTTCTAGAAATGCCTCCGTTTACAGGTGGTATATTTAAAGGGTTCACCGTTTTTATTGTTCTAGAAATTTTTCCCTTTAAAGGGAAAACTATAAAACCTTGCTGTTCTAGAAATGCCTGTAACAAGAAGTATATTTATATTAAAAAAATGGCATTTCTTATGTAAGCAGTTTCACATTCATAATTTTATGTTGCTTTTCTGTTTTCAAGGGGGTGACGACTCTTTTGCTCCAGAGATGAATTTCTCCCATCGTCAAAACATTGGGAGTGGTTGTGGTACTCCAGCCTATACAAACTATACAGACGGTTTCAACGGCCATTTAGATTACATTTATTATGATAAAAACGGTTTTGACGTCTCGCAAGTTATACCTCCACCAGATCACAAGGACGTTGAATTTCATACAGCTTTGCCCAGTATAGTGTTTCCCTCGGATCATATAGCACAAATATGTGACCTAAAATTCAAATAACTATTTAGAGTGGTTTAAATAGCTGACTTCATGTACTGCAAAATCATTATTATTTATGGGACACGTTTTTCATGTTATTTTTGTGGTTTTTGTGGATGTTTCAATCCACCAGTTTAAGGTCCAAAGAAATTTTATTTCGTCTGCTGTTAGGATGTATCAGTTTTTTGTAATTTACTTTTTGCAAAGATAGATAATCCAAGAAAAACTGATGAAAAATGTCCCTTGGGTCAAAACAACAAATTTTCAAGCCCACAAAATTAAGTGAATTCACAGGAAGTAGAATTAATTTTTTTTTTTGGTCCTTGTGAAAATGAGACAATAATTTTTTATTTAATACTACAGCTTAATATTATTAGAGATGTTAATCACACATTCTATTTGAATCAAAAATAATTATGGAATTAAACCTGAAATTGTTATTTGTTGTTGTTATTATTGTTCTTAAACAGTTTCCATTTCGTATGAGGTAACAAGATTTCAGGTGTATTAAAAGATCACTAATTAGGATGTCTGTGGCCAAGTGGTTATGTTCGTTGGCTTCAAACTACTTGCCTCTCGTAACTGTATGTTCAAATGCTGCCAGGGATTTAAGGTTCTTTCATGACTGATTTAGCTATCCAGCTAAGTTATAGTGTTGGTGTTGACACAGAAGTGCACATGATGTCTTCTTCAACCAGTAAAGCTTGTAATGCCCCATATTAACTTAAACATGTTATAATCATTAATATTTAGAAAGAGTTCATTTTGAAAAAGTTTGAACTGATGTGTAATAATTATGGGAAAAGATAACCCATGATTTCATCTGCTTTCTTGGCTTGGTATAAAAATGTTACTGTTTAAGCTTATTTGGGGGCAGGGAATATTCATTGCCTGGAGCCAGTGTTTTAAAGAATTGACTCCAGTTTCAAAAATGTTTAAAAATAGATCAGACAAGGCTTAGGAAAGTTTGTATTCATTTTTGCCAGGTTCAATCTTTTTTTTTTTGTAACTTCCCTCAAAAGTAAAACAAGTTTTAGCGGCACTGACCTTGACCCCTAGTATCAGACTGTCCCATTTCTTCATCACAGTATCTACATACTAAATTTGAAATACATTAGAAAATAAACAAAAGCTGTATGAGCAAGTGTAATCACCTATTTTGAGAATCAGTGACCTTGACCTTATGAGCAAAAGTGTAAACACCTCTTTAAAGAATCAGTGACGTTGACCTTATGTGCAAAAGTGTAAACACCTATTTTAAGAATCAGTGCCCTTGACCTTATGAGCAAAAGTGTTAACACATTTAAAGAATCAGTGACCTTTATCTTGTGAGCAAAAGTGTAAACACCTATTTAAAGAATCAGTGACCTTGACCTTATGAGCAAAAGTGTAAACATCTATTTTAAGAATCAGTGACCTTGACCTTAACCCAAGTGACCAAAGTGAGCAGACTAGCCAAGGTATGTTTCTACCAAAATGTGAAAGACATCAGTCAATGAATAAAGGTTGATACTACATGCTCTGACTAATTTCATGAACGTGAACATGTAGTATCGTGCCAATTAACGCCGTTTCTGAACAAGGCAATAATTAAACAAAGATCATGTGGGTTGTTGTTCATATCAGTCAAGTACCACTTGAAGAATCCTTTTTGAAACCTATATATGTACTCCCATGAAGAGCTTAATGTGAGGTTAATATGAATAATATCCGAGATGTTCCGATTGGCTCAATGTCACTGATATTAGAAATATAAAAAATAGTTTCTGGTCGTTAATTAGAGTTAGGAATCAAAGGGTCACGGACATTGTTTCAAAAAATAGAACAAAAGCTCTGCCGAGGCGGGGCAGTATACGCCCAATGGCAAACTTACCGGAAGACCTGTATCATTGACAAAACTGTTGTTGTGAATTGAGAGACTTACATTTTGTTATGAAGTGTGTATTATAATTATTTGAACGCACAACAATTTTGTTATTTATTTTTCATTTTTCAGTTTCTGCACATGCACATAGAGTACATGTAATGGCTTAAATAATTACATAAACTAAACGTTCAGAGTTAGACAAACCAGCATCTAAATATTTAATGTTGCATTAGTACTGCAGGAAATAAAGCCATTGTTAAACATATCAACCATAAAATTTCTTTAAATCAAAGGTACATTTTTCATTTTATAATTTATCAAACATATTAAAAAGAACTAGAATTGCCACCGTCATGGCGTGAATAAACCGCATACCACTTTGTCAAAATAAACAGTGGTCATTTAGTGCTCATGGACAAGGTAGTAACCTAGTGCATTGCTAAGTTATGTATTCTACAATGTTTTAGTGGCAAATATCAAAGTGACCTTTGACCTGAAACTGCCACTGCATGACTTGAATACATTCATGCAACTTTGCCTGGGGTGTTTTATGATGAATATATGAGAACATAATTATATGCTTCAAATGTGAAAATGTCAACAAAAAAATACACTGTGTACAGACATTCTTAAGCATTTGAGCAGACAACCTAATTGTAGTAAAAGCCCTTGTGACATTGACCTTTGACACAGTCAAGTTTAAAACCAACAGGGGTAGTCTACTAGTCTTAATCAACCTCAAAACCAAATATATAGACTGTTAACTGCAATTGAGCGGAAAAGCTTTTTGAACTACATGCCCATGTGGTCTTGACCTTTGACCCAGTGACTTCAAAATCAATATGGGTCATTTCATGGTCATGACTAACCTCCATGCCAAATAAGAAGACTGTGGGTCAAAGGATTTTAAAGTTATTATGCGGACAAGCTTTTTTTAAGTCAATCCCCTTCTGACTTTGACTTATAGTGACCTCAAAACCAATAGGGGTCATATACTAGTCTAAACTCAATACCAAATATGAATTAAGACTAGATCATAGCATTCTTAAGTAATTGAGCTGACAAGCTGTTTGAACTTAAAATCAATAGTGATTATCTACTAATCATGACCAATCTCAATCTTAAATATAAAAACTGTGGGTCAAAGGAATCTTAAGTTTGGGCAGGGTTCGCACAGTCTTAAAAAGTGTTAAATTTGAGTCCCTTTCTTAAAAAGTGCTTAAAAATGTAAAAAAGTGCTTAAAATTTTTTGAATTTGGTAACTCTCTTGAAAAGTGCTTAAAAAAGTGTTTAAATTTGCGGAAAATGTGCTTCAAAATGTTTGAATCACAGAATGACATAGTTTCGATGAAAATAAACGGTTAACAAAATAAAAAAGAATGATCCAATTTAGTATCAAAATCAAAGAAATGTTACTCAAGGTAACAGTAAGCGGACAAATTGCAGTTGTTTTGAACTAATGTGTATGTGATGCGCCCTTTGGTGTTCTTCCATAAATTCCTTAAAATTGTTGTCTGAAAATGTGTATTCAACACAAAATGTCGAATAAACTATCCATAATAGGTTGAAGATCGTGTCCGTATATGTGCAACAATTGTGCTTGAAAAATGGAACAATGTGCTTAAATAGTGCTTAAAAAGTCCTTGAATTTTGGCATTGGATGTCTGTAAAATCCCTCCTGGGATGGACAAGCTTTTTTGAACCAAAGGTCCCTGTGACCTTGACCTTTGATCCAGTGACAACAAAATTTAGAGGGGTCATCTAATAATCATGACTAAACCCTATTCCAGATATGAAGACTGTGAGTCAAAGGATTCTTAAGTTATTGGGCGGACAAGGAAAACCCGACGGAGGCCGGACGGAAAAGATAATTGCAGTATACCCCCTTACAACTTTGTTTTTCGCAACGAAAACGGCACCAAACGACACAACACTTACATGATATCACTCAATCGGAACATGTCGGCAATTATTCATCCTTGTCCGAAGTTTGACAATAAAGTTTCCTTTTAAAAGGAAAGGCTTGCTCAGTTGTGCCATCATCCCTTCCCTTTAAAATTGTTTTTTTTTTTTTCAATTTATTATCACAATTTTTTTTAATTACGTATTTGTATATCATCTGGGATGTACTATAATACGTATCGTATGTTCCAGATATCATAAAGAATTTATTTAGTTTTTTTTTTCTCGAAAAAAAAAGTTTCACTTTTAAAGGGATATGTAGGGTTTTTTCGTTTTGGCAGTTGCTAATTTCATTTATATAGCAGTTTTATATAGCAGTTTTAGAGACAAGTAAATGCACTAAAAGACTTCGTTACGTGGTACCAATTAATAAGCATGTATCAACTATGTTACACCTAAAATATCTATAATCGACAACACAGGAGATCAGCACGTGGCAAGGTTAATGATATGCATGGGCTATTTTTAGATTACCTCACCAAGACGTTTAAACTCTGTCAGTAGATCTAAATATAACTTGATCATGCACTAATATTCTGCGTGATTCGGTCACGATCTTTTGTTAAGCAGGACTGCCCTTTGGAGACGGAATACTACTACACTAACCATTCTCTATTGTATAACACTAATAAAGACAAAAACCAATTATAAAAGAAACTAACTTTTGCGTCTTGAAAAAGAATTAAAACGGAATCAAGTAAAAATAGAAATCCTATTTATATGATTACCGAAGTAACTAAAATAGCTTAGATTTCCGTAATATTACTACGTCTGATTCCGCAGTATGACGGAATCGCCCGAATTGTCACGGTTGCAATCGGAACTACATCGGCTATTATCATTAATCCGAAGAGTGACGGAAAGGGCCGAAAAGTTGCGATTGGCACGGCTGCAGCTGGTTTCCCGTTCAATCATGCACTAACAAATGTAAGCAGGAAACCACCTAACCGGAACAAGTTTTCCAAAACAAATGTCTTGCAGCCGTGGCTGCAAGCCAAAAAAGGGCCAAGAAGATGCGACGCGGTATTACCTAGTCCAAATATATTGGCGTACCAGACTCTATCCTAAGGTATGTTTGTTCTGGGTCAGAATCTCGCTTCTAAATAGGAAATAATGCGCATACACACAAAAGCATAAATATCCCATCGCGTAGTACAATTAATTAGTTGGACTAGATATTATCATGACTTTATTGTAATCTTTATGAACTGAACTTTTTTTATTTCGCTATAATATAAATATTTTTGCTGCAAAGAAACAGAATCACTTTACGACCCAAAGACAAATATCAGTAATGAGACAGATATATATGACAGATATGTATTACGGAAAAGCAGACAAAAAAGAAATTATTTAGTTACTTAAAAACAACCTATTACTACGATGCGTGATAAAGATTTCATTGTTCGTGGGAAAAGTTTCAGAATATGGATGTATATATCTATAAGATGAGATCAAGTTGACAATATGGGCTGAAAACTTGTAAGAAATATCAAGTACTGCATCCGCTTTAAAAAGCTTGTGAAATGTAGGTATATTCCGTTTTTGTTTGTGAAGTTCAAAGATTAAGCAATTGTTTATATAACTGGGAA